AAATATTCCTGTTGCAACTAATTCGGGGAACCTCACTGAATATTTTCTGACAAGAAAAATCAAAATCCGTCGGGCGCTTTTTTTTAATTTCAATTTTTGTGTTTTTAGCGCCCAATTTAAAAAAAGACTGGTTTTTATGATCATTTAAAGAAAAATTCAACTTCAACTGGTCAAATTTTGTTCAAGAAATTATACAAAACCATAATTCTGGTAGAAAATTTTCCGTATAATCGGAATTGAAAAGTTGAGAAAATCTAGAGTCTGTTTACAACGTTCCTACTGATTTTAAATTTTCTGATTTAAATTTTCTTTTAGTTATTAAATATATAAATAGTGAAAATTCTGTTATTCGATTTTTATTACAACTTTTAATAATAAACAGTTTCACAATTTCCAAAATTAGTAGAGTGCCGAGTAGTAGAGTAGTAGTGCCGACAGAAGTGGGCCACACTTTGGTTTTGATGCTTTAGAATATTCAGAAATTAACATTTTTGAACCCTTTTTACGTTTATTTGAACAAAAAGGACTTACCTAACTTTAGGCAAACTCACATTTTAAAATTCTTAATTTTAACATATTGTATAACATCGTTATGCAAAAAAAGAGAAATTTGCGATATCATGATTTTGTAGACAGAAGTGGGCCTCCTAAGTTTTCCATCTAAAATAAGAAAAAGGATGAAGCACTATGATTGTTTATGTAAAATGATTAATTTTTTCAATAAATAGTATTGTACAATTAAGCACAAGAAGGGCGTTCAGAAATTTTATTAATTTTTATTTGACTCATAGCATAAAGTAATTTGTGGTAGTCAATGAGTTCATAGCCAGTTGGTTTAGCCTTTCTTGGTGACATGATTGCTAAAAATTCAAAATAATTCATAGAACCACTTCATTAGTTTAAACAAAATCACTAAATGTCAAATCGGAACTTTAATGCAGTGGCCCACTTCTGTCAACAAGATTAATTTGAGGAGAAACAACATGACCATAATACCACGCGACAATATGAAAGAGTCTCTTTAAATTTTTTAAGGTTAGGTCTGAAACTATAATAAAGGCTACTTGCCCGATTGAATTCGATAAATATCTTATGTAACCAACGATAACTTTTACAATGAGAAAAAAGAAAAAGTAGATAATTTTTAACACTAATTGCTGGAGAACACAATTGTACGTCGCACTCTTTAATAACCAACTGAAAGTTGACCTTCTGTTGATAACAAAAGAAAAAATTTTCGGTTGACAGATATGTCACTTGTAAAACCAAAAACGGCGGGTGGCCAACTTCTGTCAATGCTACTCTATTTAAATTATAGTTTTAATAATATCATCATTTAAAAATATCAAGATTAAACGATTACATGTGATTACTGTTGTAGTAACACACAGATATTAGGAGTTGCTCTGCATAATTTTCTTTTCTCTCATTTAATAACTGAAAGAAAATTTAAATCAGAAAATTTAAAATCAGTAGAAACCTCGGTAGAAACGTTGTAAACAGACCCTAGATTTTCTTAACTTTTAAATTCAAAATTTTAATTACTGACAAAAAGATGTTCATTTTATAATATTTTGTTTTGCAAATTTGAAAACGTAACTGTTACTTATTGGTAAATTTTGATAAATTTTGAAATTGCACTTATTTTATAAAATTTGACAGACAATTTGAAAAAAACGACGGTGAGATTTTTTTTATAATATTTACAGTTTTCCGGATTTTCTGGGATACCGCCGCTTTAATTTCGAAAGCCAACGTCAGATTCCGATTATACGGAAAATTTTCTACCGGAATTATGGTTTTGTACAATTTCTGGAACAAAATTTGACCAGTTGAAGTTGAATTTTTTTTAAATGATCATTAAAACCAGTTTTTTTAAATTTGGCGCTAAAACACAAAAATTCAAATTAAAAAAATCGTCCGACGGATTTTGATTTTTCTTGTCAGAAAATATTCAGTGAGGTACCACGAACAAGTTGCAACAGGAATCTTTGAAAGGGAGAATGTTGAGGGTTGAGATTGGTTCCAGGGGACCGTGACCTGTCCCGGCTCCGGCCTGGCAGATCTGTTGATCGCAAGAAAGTAGGAAATGCCGAGACTAAGCCCGTCTGCGCGTCGGACCCCCGTATAGAACTCAGCGAAAAAACTAGTATAATACGAAAGGCGGACGAAAAAATTTAATAGAATCTTCTAACCGACGAAGTCCAGTGAGAGCTGTTTTGAGTGAGATTCCAATTAATTAAATATTTAACGATTGTGAACCTTGTTTCTTAACCGGCCAGTCCGTACGTGTAGTACCTGCGCCGTATAAGAGAAATTATGCCCTGTCGGTAGGATTAAGGATTTTAGCGGTAAGTATCGTTTCAATGATTTAATGCTACTTTCAACTTTAATTCTCTTTCAAACATGTGCAAGTTTGTAAATTTCTTAAAAACTTGTTAAAATAAAATTTTAATGTAAATGCCAAATCTGATTTTATTTATTTTAAAACTCCTGAAATAAATAAAGTAAATTGAAATAATTATTTATCAGAGTTAAAACAAAGCTATCCCGGTAACTTTTAAAAGTGGAATAACGATCCCGCATAATTAAACAAGGTCTTTTAGACCTTGGCAGCTTGGTGCCTCCCCAAATTTGAAATAAAAGGGCCATCTCAAAAGCCCAATTAAATAATTTATTTCTGGTTTGTAACAAGCTGATGGTGGCAGCGATGGGATTTTCCTACGCGTTACCGCCCTGCTTCGTTACCTGGTAACATTTGTTACCAGTGGCACCATTTTGTATTTTTCAAAATTTAACATTTAGTTAATACAGTTTCTCTATTTTCTTTCTCTTCTTACCTTTAAATATTTCTTTTTACCATCTTATTTTCAAAATTTACTGATTGTAGTAATACAACTCAGTATTTTACTAAGCAATTTGACACAAGAAAATTTAATTAAAATACATAAGAACCTCTGTCTCACAGAAGCTAAGAATTTGGCTCTCCAACTTCGGTTGTTGATGACGACTTATTCTATGTTTCGATTTTGGCTCTCCGACTGAAAGGTTGTTGATGACGTCTTAATCAATTAAGACACTGGTTTTTAGTATTTTAACTACTCGCTTATTCTTCTATCTCTCATCAGAAAATAAGAATTCCTTGTTTTAAATAAATTGGAAGTTTGGCTCTCCGACTCGTCGTTGATGATGACTTATTTCTAATTTATCTTGGCTCTCCGACCGAAAGGTCCCTATATTAAAGAACCAGTTGAAACTAGTAGAAATTGAACATGGATCTACTGGTGTCAACTTGCTTTCCAAATTGAAAAACTTTTCCGTGTAGCAATTCTACTGGTTTTAACTTGGAAATCATATTTATGTAACTGAAACGGATATCCAAGATAAAATTGAAAAGGTTCTATCCTGGATTGTCCTCTTCAATTTTTGTTTCGACTTGTTTTAACATGGATTTCCAATCTTATCATTTCTACTTGTATTTCCAAGTTCGCACGTACTACAAGTGTCAGCTTGCATTTCCAAATACAAAAATTAAGTTCAAGTATCTACTTGGTTCAATTTGGATTCTCGAATACTACATTTCACTTGTCCTGTCAAATTAAAAATCAACGAGCTTGAGTTTTAGTTTACTGTTATTTTGCAAATTTGTTATTTTTGCAAACTTGCATTCTTCGCAATTGACAGTTTTACAAATTGTTAGATACTTTTGCTAATTGTTATTTTTTGCGAAACTGTTTTGTTGTGTATCATTATTTCTGCTAATTTTATTTTTGCGAATTTGCATTTCTCGAATTGATACTTTTATGAATTTGTTACTGTTGCTATTTGTAATTTTGTAACTTTATGGAAATCTGCAGTTCACAACAGAACAATAAAACACTTTTAACCGTTTTCTTGAAATTTGAAATTTTTGTTATTTTTTTGCATTAACAAAATATTACAAAATTAAAAAAAATTAATAACTCAAAAGCCGTTTACAATAAATTAATGAAACTTACACTGTTACGTTCCGAGCAAGAGCGAGGCTTTTAAATAAAATTAAATAATTTATTTAAAATAGATTTTAAAACCAGTTAGCTGATTAATCAGGTTGGTAAAGCCTGATCTTTATTTTTATTGTAGGATCGTGATCACCTGTCAAAACTATGGGCTTTGCGTTAATAACAAGATAAATATTCCTTTTATTTAATTTATTGTTTATAGTAAGAAGAAAGTTACAATTGTTACAAATTGTTACTTACGTTTAATTACAGATTCGTTGACAAAATTATCGCAGGGTTGTTATAATTGGTTTTCTTGTTTTGAACTCGTTTCAATTGAATGAAACTGAAAGTTTGTTTTATTACACTTGTGTAATATTCACAACTTTATAACAGTTTTTGTGCTAAAATAACAGTTTCACGTTTTCTAAGTGTTAAATTATTTATCTTGCACCTTTTTAGGGGAAAGAAACTTGTTTCTAAGTGACAAATAATTATAACTTGCACCTTTATGGAAAGAATTAGTGAAATTTATACTATTAATTATTAATCACAAATACGACAGTTAAAATAGCAAAATTATCAACTCTAAGTGTTAAATTATTTGTCTTGCACCTTTTTAGGGGAAAGAAACTTGTTTCTAAGTGATAAATAATCTAACTTGCACCTTTTTACGGGAAAGAATACAATAATTCGCGTTTTAACCGAAGGGTCGCTCTACAATGATACTGTCCGCACTAAACTACACCGGAACTTTTGACAATCGTTCTGCTTTTTACAGCAGCTTATATAGTTTCTAATCTAATGCATTTTGGGGATGTTAAGTGGTGGAAACATTTTGTTTTGGGTGTTTTCACCACGCGCCGTTTTAGACACGTATACCATGCACCGTTTTAGTCACGTACGCCATGCACGATTTCAGGCACGTACGATATGTAATATGATCTTTTTATTCTATTATATCTTCATTTTATTGATTATTTAATTTTATAATTGCTAATAGATCCATCATTCGTCCAATTCAAACATCGATATGCATATTTAGTTCATTAATCGAATCAACAATCGATAATCGATTAATCGATTGTCGATAATCGATTTATCTCTGATTCGATCAATTTGAATGTATTTATATTTACAATTTGGTGATAATGTTACACATCGACAACTGAACGAACCAATAAACCAATTACCAATTAATTTTATTAATATTAAGTATATGCATTATGAATGCGTTTATTCTTTTTATATTTTCTTTTTATCATGCGTCATCTCTTTCATTCATGGCCTTACACTTGTCGTAAAAACATAGTTCGTAGATTCATCTTACTCTTTCATTCATGGCCTTACACTTGTCGTAAAAACATAGTTCGTAGATTCATCTTACTCTTTCATTCATATGAGTAGTAACAAGTGTTAATGACTCACATGAATGAAATATTAAAATATTTAATTATGCTTTTCTATTTTTATGCTTTTCTAATTTGAAATATAAAATGACAATGTAATATTTTTAAATTATGTTTTTAGGCATGGCTAATGTTACATTTATAATATTATTTAATTGATTATTTAAAGAAATTATTAAATTTATGAAAAATATATAAGTTTTGAAATATGTCGGGATATAACAGTCCTCCCTCCTTAAATTGTTCATCGTCCTCGATGGACATGTACTTTTAGTACATAAATTTTTCATAAATTTTACAATTTTGCTTTTTAATTATAAAAGATGTAATGTTGCTGACGAAGAACATTTTGAGTTAAGTGTAATAGATAAGTGTTTAAATTATACATCATGTGCAGTACGTGTTCAAAATTGAGAATGGCGAAGAAGAAGGTAAGTTGTTTTCAAAACATGGTTTCTCGGGTATCCCTCGGTCCAACTGAGTTGTTCAAAATCGTGAGAATCTTCATGCTCATCAAATTTTTGACTGATGATATCAGGATCTGTCGTCCCCACTTATACTGTTGAAGTCCTTTGTAATTAGTTCTTCATTAGCTATGAGTGATAACAGTTCAGTTAGTGACGCTTCCACGGTTGATTTGGTTGATTTTTATGTTCAAACAATGAGACCAGTTCCTCTATTGTTAAATCGAGATGTTTCTCATGGTAATAGTGTTTTTTGATTAGTTTTGTTTTGTTTTAATTTGTGTGTGTTTTCATTGTTTCCTTTTTTTTTTTATTCTTTATTTATAATATGAGTGATTCTATTGAAGAGATTGACAATGATGTGTCAGATTATGTGGACTTATTTGATCTCAATGTTCTTGAACCATTGAGAAATACTGATAACATTCAAGCAACTGTGATGCCACAAGTGGAAAATGTGACAGTTAGGGAAATTGATCCTGTTCCTTCTACTTCAAGATCAGAAGGACATTGGCACGCATCGAATATTCCAATAGATGTTCCGATAATTCCACAGTTGGATCATTTATTGACTGCTAACGTATCCAGACAAAGACTTATAGGACTACGCATGGTGGAATTGGAAGAACGTATGGGCATTTTTCAATTTGCTATATGGAAAATGCCTGTCGAGGGAGCAGCAGAAACAGTGCGTCGTTTGATTAGTGATATCACAGGCATTGAATATTCTTTAAATGAATTTATAATTGTGAGTGCCTTAGACGCGAATCGACAAGGTGTTTTAGTGCGTGTCTCGACTGCTAGTTTAAAACAATTAATTTTTAACTGTAAAATGTTGCTGATATTCCGGGGATACAATATTGACTATTTGTGAATATCAACTTTTCTTTCTTAATATGTGTATATGTGAGTGTGCTTGATACGATGTTAGTTTTTATTATATTTCACCCCTGTTTGTTTACTTTATTATTTGCAGATTTTCTCAATAGTGCCTTTTCTCGTCGGCCCTTCAAAATAGAACTATTGGCTCAAATAATTTTTGGCGTTACTGAATTACACAGGATATCCCGGGAAATAAAAGAGTTAAGATGTTCCCGAGGATTTATTCCAAATTATCGGATGATAAGATGTCCTGACTCGCAGCTGAAAGTTGTTTTTCGCAAGGTGTCAGCCTCTTGGTCGGTGGTGAAAGGGGATTCGAGGAAATCGAGAAAATTGAAAACTTTTAAGTCGAAATTGGAAAAAAGATTGATGCGTTTGGTCACAGCCCTTATTGTATCATCACAAAATAGGACGAATCTCATAAGGTAATTTATGAATCTATATTTATTTCTTCTCTCTCATTTGTGAATTATTTGAAATTTTATAGATCGTGTTTTCTCCTTTTATTTCAGTTTGCGGGGTAAGAACGGACGTTTCTGTCGTTGTGGAAAATTCGTCTTGATAGATCGGAGACATTCGATATGTGCTTGTGGTGGTGACGTCGCAATCCTAACGAGGGTTGAATCCGATGAAGAAGAGATAGACGTAGTGAATTAATTATTACGAATTATTTTATATATATAATTTTATACACAAACCTATACATATTCACAAACATGCACACATATATATATACTTTCTAACAATAATTCATTTTATAATAAATTTATTTAACGTGACATCATCGGTGTTTTACTTTGTTTCCTTGTGTCTTTTGATCCCTTTTTATTGATTTTGAATTCTAAATTTCATTAATTATTTAATAATCATTTAAAACTTATTTAATTACTCAAATTAATATTATCTATTATTAATATCAATATTTATTTATCAATTATAAATGTTTTCTCTTTTATTTCAGAATTTACTTTAAACTATTAATTATGTACTATAAAATATTTCTTGTTATGTTTACTAGTTATTGCGTTGATAAATTGTATAATTGACTTTTTATTATTTTCATTAAATATATACCTATATGTATATATATATATATTTCATATACTTCAATTTAAATTTTTATTAGTTCTATGATCGATTAAATCGATTATTTTCGCTCAGTTTCAAGAAGAAAGTATCCGAGGAGCATGAATATGCAGGGAGTATGTTCATGTGTTCGAGCGGAGATCGAGAGACTTCAACGCTTAGTTAAATGGTGAAGTCGGCCTTGAATTTCTATGCGGCCAGAGTCCCATTATTCCTTACCCTTTTGAATTTATTTCATCGTAATTTACCGTAATTTAAATAATAATAAAATTTTTAGTTTCATTATACATTGCCGCTAATAAAACATCAATTCAATCATTTTTATTTTATTTAATTGCCTAGTTGAACGTAATAATTGGTAGTAAAAGATATGTTGAAATTTTAAACTAATTATCTGTTTTGTTATTTTATTTTCTCATAATTTCTTTCATTTAATTAATTATTGTCTTTATTAAATTGATAATTAATAACAATAATCAATAATATTATAAATTTTATGAACGAAAAACCTTCATTTGTTAATAAGACTTAAAATCATTGATATTTTTAATTATTTATTGATTTACTTGTGAATAATTGATACGACACCTAGTGGTGCTTAGTTTTGTATTGATATTTTAATAATAATCGATTATGGTTCGATAATATTGAGACCATCTGTCGAGAATCGTATCAAGAATTCACGTATACTAAGAGTGTAAGCGACATCGGGTTGTGCATGAGCTGGAGACTTTAATGCCGCTCGATCTTGCTTACCGTATAAGAGAGGCGTGGGACTGTCTATACAATCATTGGGAAGGAGGCGTGGGCCTGACCACACACTGTGTCGCGAGAGATCCTCCTACACTTTCATGCTTCTCTGATATCTTCAGCTCAACGTTGGGACTTTTAACGCCATTTATTATTAACAATAACTGTTAATAATAGCAAAGGCTAATGTATTAATCTATTGTCTACCCTTTTACACATAATTATTGTATATTTAAAATTTTTAATTACTAATTTCATCAAAATATGACTTTTAAAGCAACAATAATTATTAATTGTTATATTGTTTATTAATAATTTATTAGTATGTTGTTAATAAAATCTATTAGATTGGTTATTATATATTATCAATAATTATAATATATGATTTATTTAAATTTTAATTTTTATTCCTTTTAATAATTTTCCTTATATTATTTTTTTTTTTTTTTTTTTTTTTTTTATTTTCATCTAATTTCTATAATTAATATTGATTGTTATTATTTATGTAATTTTAATTATTATTAATTTTATTGGTTAATTATGCAACTTTGATTAAATATTTATCTGATTCATTGTTATTTAATCAAGTTGGTCTTTATGTTAATTGTTAGTTGTTAATATTTTAGTTAACCAATTTATTATTTATTAACTTGTTTATTGTTAATTAAACTATCTTAATTATTAGCGTTTATTAATTACTTAATTAATTAATTTAAAAATTTTTTTTTTTTGTTAATATAGTATTATTCTAATTAATCATTAATTATTATAGTTTATGTTTTATTAAATTGAATGATATAATATTTATTGATATAGATATAATTTATATTTTTTTTTTTTGTAATTAATAATTAGTGATTATTTATTGATTAATAAGGATTAGTTGTTAATATTTTAGTGATTGTAGGTTAGTTAAGAATTATTAAAGAATATTTATTAATTATAGGCAATAATGTTAATTTCCTTGCATTTTTATTCGATTTCCATCATGAATTACGAAATTTTTAATTTGAATTTAAATTATTTGCCGCTTTTTCATGATGGCTGCCGAATCAAGCATGCGCTATATATACATAGCTTTAGATCTATTCATGCGATCGATGTTGTAGGCTTGAGGTTTTCGGCGCGCTGATTTGAATCGCGCTGCTTCTTGTAGTTTTATAGTAGCCTGGTTGTTTTAACTCTTATAGTGGCTTTATTTTTCCAAATTTTTCGGGATTTTTGGGCCTGGTCCTCCTTCCTTAGAGTGTACATTGTCCTCAATGTATGTGGGCTGCAATTGGGCCAATAATCCATATTTGTTGTTTATACGTTGGATCGATTATTCGATCTTTGTCTTCTCATTGTTACGACTTTATAAAGTACGTATAGGTTTTTAACTACTATCAATGCTATCAATAATAATAATATTTTGAAAGCTATTGACATATAATTAACAGCTTCCGATATATGTCCCAAAAATGGAATTTCCATCTGAAACATCAAATATATTTTAGTTTTTATTCTTATTTTAGGTTTTTATTAAAATGAGGAGGAAAGAAGAAGGCGACCGCCAAATCCCCTTCCTTCTTTTTCTTTCGTCCTTCTTTTAATTTTTTTTTTTTTTGTTTTATTGATTATTATATTTATACATATAGTTGATTGTAATATTGGGCGATTGATTACATGGTATTATTATAATTGATTATTATATTTCTTAATTTTAATGAAAATTTGAAGTAGTGTTTTTATTTGATCCAAGTGTTTTTTCTACTTCATGATTTTTAATAATTAATTAAAATATTGATTATAATAGGTGATAATGTAATATAGTTATTTAATATTATTATTTCTTAATTATATTTTTCATAAGTAATAAGGGTTATATTAATTGATTATTTAATAATATCAATATGTAATTCTTGGTGTAATATATTAATTATTGTAATTATTTATTAAGCATGGTATTGATTATATAATTATCATTTTAGTAATATTGCTTGTTATATAGAGTGATTAATATAAGTATAATATTTATGATTATATAGGTTTTGTAATAATGTGATTTTTATAATTATTTACATCTTGATAAACATTTTGTTCATTAATTAATAATCACATTATTTTTAATAATATTGTGTTAAATTTATCTTCAATATAGGGGTAAAATTTGAATTTTCGTGTCTCATTAACAGTCGGTATATTAGATAATTGGTGGTTATATTATCATATTGTTTTCTTTATTTTGACGGTTGGTAATTTGATTCATTAATTAGTTGTTTAGTGTTTGAATTCAGTTATTTTATATTGTTGTTAGTTAGTTGTATTTGTTTTTGAATTATTATTTTATTATTATATTGTTTTTATTTATCGGTTGTTGATTTGATTTGGATGCTGTGTTTTTCATGATCTCATCTAAGGGCTTTTATTTCTTCAGAATTTGCAAGGATCATCAGTTTTTGAAAATGACTCATTTGAAAACAAAACATTGAGATGGACGGAGGTGAGTGACATTTTGTTTTAATTAATTATATTTTTAATTTTAATATTTACTCATTTTATTAGTAATTAATAAAAATTTTTTTTTTTTTTTGTGTGCTTTTAGAAAATAATAATAATGTTAACGAGGAAGGGCGTCGATGGAGGCACGCTGGGCCCAATGAAGGAGGTGATAATTTTATTTATATATTTTTTTTTTTGTTTGTTTTAATTAATTTATTATTTTCTATCATATTTAATATGTTTTATTAATAGTATTTTGTTTTTATGTTTCAGATTATGGTTACCAGAATATTTTGGTGACCCGTTTTATGGGAGGGGGAAGGGTTTTTATACCCCCTCCTTACATTAATTTAAAAATTATTGTCGCTGGGGACGGGACGAGATACGTCTTGTTCCCTGGTCAGGCCCGTTTTGGGCCTAGTTGTTAGATTTAATTTTTTTTGTATGTTTAATTTAGGTTTTTAATAATAAATAAAATTTTTTAAATTTAATTGTTTGTGTCTGTGTTTTATTTATTAGTTCTTCTTTTTTTTTTTTTTGATTGGCCCGTATTTATGAGCTCCGCAAGTTGAGCACATAAATATGGGCATAATACTCATGGCTCGTATTTATGGGCTTTGTGTACATAGAGAAGCCCATAATTACGGGTTTCATTATTATTTTTACTTGCACTTGTGCATGAATTTAAATGTGGATGGGGAATTTTAGATTTTTGTGGAATCTAGGGAATTTTATTTTAAGTAGTTTGTGAAGTCACTAGCTTTAAATTCACCATGATATATTTATTGATATTTATCATCTAGTGTTTTATCTAGAGACTTTTATTTTCAGTAGTTTTGATGAGTGTACCTTTATGTTTGATATTTTTATTTGGGATTACATTGTTAGTTATTGTTTATTTATCAATTAACTATATAATTATTTAAAATTTAGTGTTTAATATTATTATTTCATGTGATTTACAGTTTTTGTTGTAATAATGCGTATATTTCGTAAAAGGTACATTATACGTAAATTTAGAAAAGGATAGAAGTATTCCTTTTTTTTTTTCGTTATTATTTGCAATATTTTACAAAATTTTGAATTTTATACTTTGATTTAATAAGTTATTACTTATTTGATCCTATTTGAGTATATTTTTCAAATTTTTATTTAGAGAATTTGTTTATTTATGAGGATTTAACTTTTTAGAAAAGGATAGATATATTCCGTTTTTTGTTATTTCTTCTGGAAAAACATATATTTTACTATTTTTATGATTTGAACTTTTAAATTAATAATTCTATTAGTTAATTCTTGTATTATATTATGAAATTTAAGGTCGGTTTACAATAAAATTGACGTATGACGTGAATGTGATTCTATGTGTTTAAACTATTGGATAATGAGATAATTGAGATTTTTATTGTTATTTATAATACTCTGACCTTAATTTATTAATTTCATATTATAATTTATGGTCAATTTACAATAATTAATCG